CCCGAAGGGTACAGGGCATGACTCAAACGATGCCGGGTCACCCAGTGGCATCAACCCCCCAGTAGGTGCCCTTCCAACCCTTATGGTCGCCGAGAAAACATAATATCTCTTGCAGGCCTACTTAAAAAAATGAACAAAGCTCAAAACTCGTAAACCTAAACACACGTAAAACAGTGGAGGCTCGGACATCCCATTTTTGGTGCGTTTGTCCCTTCCAAAGAAGCTTGGGGAGTGGTATGCAGAAATTCGGGGTCCCCGTACACCACCCCGAGTTTCTGAAACGGGGTGTCACAACAAGTGATTTTGGAGCCCCAAAATCCATGGGGATGCTGAGACGATTCTTGCGATGGGCGTCCTTCCTCAAACTGTTCCCATGACTTGTTTCCATCAACATATGACAGGTTAAAGGGACACACTCGCAGACTTTCAGAACAACAGTCAAAATGAGGACCCCAGATCCCAGACTGGATGTCTGAACTAAGATAGACAAACTTCTCCCGCTGGCAAATGTTCGTAACTTCCATCGCCGAGTTGCGATGCTGGGAATTATCCACATACTCTTGGTGGCTGTCTCAGAATGTGCCATGGGTGCTTGCAAAATCCGGGATGCCCGCCCATCTTATAAATCGACTTGCTAGATTCTTGGTTTGGGGGCACAAGGGCGAGGGTGATAAGGTTGCGGGGGGGATACGTGAAATTCCGAGGTGCCACATGATGTCCGACACAAAGACCATCGCTGGGTGGACGATGAGCTTGGGATCATTGTACAGCGCCAGCCACTTCAAGCAGGGATTCACCTTGCCCTCTTCCGTCTGAATCAGGTGCCGGATGTAGTAGTTCACCCTGCACTGGGCATCCGGAACAAAAAAAGTCCTATAAGGGCCCCTGCCTTAGTTGCGACATGTCCACAGCCTGTTAGCTTCAAAGCCCGAATGTATACATCCGCATATGAAACCCCCTGGTATGAACTGCAAGTTGATGGGGGCGAATTTTCATGGGACAAAATCGTCAAGGGCACCAAACGATGAAACTGCCATAGGTGCATAGGGCCTATACATTCAGCGCCTTTGAACATGTTCCCCCGCTTCATTTTTTGAATCAGCTCTGGGTCCCTTGCAGCTAAGACTCTGGAATCCCACTGGATGCGTCCCGGGATTAGGGGAAACCTCAAATGTACTTGCGGCAGTTGCGCCTACTCAAGTCGTATGTACTGCTTCGCACTGTTGAATTGGTGTAGTTACTTTTGAGCTGGCCCAGTACTGCTTAAAGCTGGTTTAGCATTGGTTTAGTATTCTTATTCGTTTACAGTCTTTAGAATTGGTTTGGTATTCTTTAGTATTCCTCGGTACTGGCCCAAATATGCTTCTTGTCTCTACTTGCGCCCCTTAAACATTCCTAGTATTAATTAGCTGTTCTGGGCTTCCCTCTACCCCCAAAGATTTGTTAGATTTGTCTGGGCGGCTGTTTTAGTAAAGGGTGTCACAAAGCGTTTGGTGGTTTGGGGCCTGAGTTGGTTTTGCTGGCTCAGGATTGGCATAGGATTGGTCTAGGATTACTTAGACTTGTCTCAGTATTGATTAGTACTAGTTTTTTTTTTGTCCAGCCATGGCTCGGGATCATGTGTTGTGTTTCTAAATGTATATTCCTAACAAAAACCCTTTCCTAAACTTCCTCCCCTTTTCCTTTTCAAGATGACCGCGCCAACCTCTGAAGAAAACAAAGAAACCCCCCGAAAGTCTGGAAGAAATGCATTTTCAAACGTCTAGCTACTTCCTCCAGGGGCAAACCATATTCTTCAGCGACTGGCTGGAAGTAACTCTTGCCTTTCCAAGCGTTTCATTCGGCCTGCGGATCCCGCCGCGGGCGGTGCGCTGACGCCACCTGTGGAGCAAAACCCGGGCGGCCCTGGGGAGTCAAAGCAACTCGGACGAGACACCGAAACCATGACAGCTTTCCCAGTGAGCTCTCTTTGGGGTCGCCCACTCTTGGAGGAAGAAGAAACAAATAACCCACAAAACAACAACACAGTTCTGAACAACTGGATTTTGCTTTGGCATTTCTCCTGTTGAGTCTCATTTCTGGGAAGGGTGAAATCCTCTCCTTCCTATGCGTCCAACCAGCCGGTGCGAATATGTTCAAATCCAAAGGTGCAAAGCTTGGTTCTTCCATTTGCGAGGCCGATGCAAAGAGCACAGGCGTCGCCCCTTTGCCCTTCCGGAACTCATGGTTCATGAGGCACTTTGCTTGTCATGCATCTCAACAAAGCTGACGGGAAATTGTGGGCTTGTCGCTCTTAACGGGCTGCAAATCAGTTTGTAGTGCCGTACCTGTACCCATAATTTTACCTTAGTGTCGATCACAAAACGGAGACCCTGCCAAATAGTCTTCGAAGGGTTCTCTCAAAGGGAGTTGGCAAGTGCCAAAGCTTTGATAAATGCTTGCCTAGGCTGTGGCATGGTGTGTGCTCGTTTCAGATGTTCAGAGGAAAAACATAAAATGAGTGGAAACCTTGATGTTGCCAGATTTCTCCTGGAACATGAGCGGAAATCGGCGGGACATGAGCGGAACTCAACGGGAAATGAGCGGACATTGGTGGATACCCAACAGAACATGTTTTTCATTGAGCGGTTTCTTTTCTTTTCTGATTGAGCTTTTTGGGTGACATGAGCCTCTCGTTTGATCGAAACGGTAAAAAACAAATGCCCAGGGAAGACCTAGGTATGGGAAATCACAGGGAAACAAAATGAAGCCAGCGAGCACTTTTCTGCCCAAAGGTTTGGTCCTTCCGGAACGGCTCGACGCATTTTTGTCACTGCGCCAGTAGGGCACAAGGGCCAAGAAACACCGGCCAAGGAGTGACCAAGGCAGGGTGGTCTTCTGCCACTCGGAAGAAAAAAAAAAGACAGCCCAGAGAAATAAACTGGTTCACCCCAGGTTGTGCTCTTGTGCTCAATGTGGTGCCCGCCGCCAAAAACGGCAACACGTAAAGAAGGGTGTTGCCCTCGTGCCATTTTTTTGCGGGCAGGTTTGACACACGGGTATCCCATGTACGCGCCAACAATCTGTGGATTTTGCTCGATACTTCTGTACCGCCGATTGCTTTTTAGGGGTTAGCCTCATCCCGGTAGAGTGGGTATTGGGTGTAGGGAGTATAGTATAACACTCCCGGGTGAAGTATGAGACATCGTTTGCTGACCCAAGAATAGGATCCAAAAATGAATCCCTGGGTGAGGTCGCACATATCCGGTGAACGCGGAACCTATGGCTCTGGATGACTTTGCCTTGAAATCGGGCACCCCGTGTTGATCAAAGTGTTCATCCCCCAACAGGCTTTCTGGCAGACGGATATCGGGTCGGCCTGTGAACCCGACAAGTGCGCGAATTGAAGAGTACAAGTCATGATCGTAATTCAATACGATAAATCGTGCAATTATCTTGGCCCTTGTATTTGAAGATTGCGAGTTTTACTTTTGGGGCATGCGACAACTCCAGTTCACATCTTTGAAGCTGCTCAACTGCTTAGCTGGCAGGCTTGGGCAAGAATGGTGTAAGCATGTTGAAACCCGGGGAAGCAGGCTAAGATGTTAAAATGGGAAGCAACTTTGGACAAGTTACGCACAGTGTTTTTATGCAATGGGGTTGTGGACTTGGCAATTCAAAAAAACAACAATTCGTCAGACTGATCTTGCCTGTATGTATTGAACCGCCCCTTATATGAGGGGCTTAAAATGGACCTTTCTCTGGTAGCGAGCCGAAGGAAACCAAGAAAGTACCAACTGTTTTAGGGGACCCATTCCTATCCCCCGATATTGTCCCCCCTTTTCTGGTTGCCCCAACAGATCCCTAGGATACTTCCAAAAGCCCAGCGTGAGGATATTCTCTAAATCAGCTGGTCATATGTTGCCTGGCTCAAATGTATCCTTTCAGCTCGCCAATTGATGTCTTGGATTGGCGGCCGGGGTGATTTAGCTGTCAACCAGGGTTCAGCTCCCAGACCCAACCCAAACCCACAAAGGGCGTCTTGCTTGAAGGAACCTTTGAGCGAGAACAACACTTGCTGGTGCGACAGGTAGGGAATGCGGTAATGACCCTTATAAGCCATCCAGGTGGTTTCCGTTAAGGGAATCCCTGGGTTCATTCCCACATTCCCCACCTATCGCACCAGCAAGAAAACCCTTTGAGCGGCGATGGAGAGCGAGCGGCATGAGGCCGTCAAAGAGGACTGGCAGTAGACCTGGGGCCTCTTGGCTTAGCTTCTTGATCAGGTCCGGGTGCCGATGGAACATCCTTGAAAACAGAGCGTCACCAGTGGATCACGGCAGGGGTGCTCCAGTTGTTGTGGTTACGAGCATAGGTAGCCTTTTTGGAAGATAGATGGCCCTGGTAGATGATTGAGCCACCAGGTAAACCAGGGCCCTCTGCTTTTTGAGCAAAAACCAAAAAGGACACCTATTGTCACCAGTGGGTCACGGTTGCTCCAGTTGTTGCCGAAGCGGTTTGGTGGTTGACGAAGGGTTTCCCAACTATCCCGTCTACAAGAACCACGGGTTCAAAGCCAAATCCAAACCACCAATCCAAACCAGATCCCCTTTCTGTTTCCAGAAAGAAAAAAAAAGCCAAAACCAAAACATCATGGGACATAGTGCATTTTAGCAGCCGACGTTCAGACGGAAAACAACTGACAAAAGAAACTGGAGACGTTGAATTTGGGAGTCTGAGAGCCCCGTTGGCCGAATCGGAGATGCTCCTCGCACATATCCTCACTTTTGAGATGGACAACACCATGAGAAAACCTTGGACATGTGCGACTTTAGAATTCTCAATTTTCCAGACGAATTGATTTTAGTCCCTTCAAATACCAGCTTCTTTTGGGGAATGTTTTCAACAGCGAGATTTCCCCGTGAGGGTAGGCATCATATCCCAAAAGATGTGGGAACTAGGGGGTACTCGTTTCAACGTCCCCGTTCAGTTGTAGGTCCTTCAGGTGAAGCCGCGTTTTGCGGAAAGCGACCAAAGTCAGAATCAAAACCTGGCATTGTATGGGAAATGCAAAACGCATGAGTTTTCAAGGCCGTATCTCAGCACCCTATGGTTGGCAATGAGCCTTACTAACCTTTATCGACCTGTGTTTGATTGTGGCCCACCTGTTCTGTGTTGAATCAACATCTGTTTAAAAACCATTTGGGACAAAAGAGCAGCCTGTTGGTGATGGTTGAATTTAAATGGACGCCATTTCCCATAAGGATGATTGCTCATAGGATGATTGGCTCTTGAACAGTTTAAAGGATGATTTGCGATTTCAAATCTTCCACATCATTGTAAAAAAAGAGTAAACATCAAAATCACAAGTTTCCAAAGCTGGGGTTCGACCAAAAAGGCTTGAATCGCTCTAGTCAACCGCCCGACCCTTCCCGAATTGGCTCGGGCGCTCTTCGCAGCCATAGTAGTACTTGGACCGATCGGCACGGATCGTAAGCAGATCCTGACGCGTTCTCCAACCTCACCCCCGGCCAGGTTTTCTCCAACAGTCTGTCTCTACATGGGGCAGTCGCTTTGGCGCCCTTAAACCCCACAGTGTGCCTAAAATGGGCAAACCCTCCTCAAATGGATTCGCTTTGACCCTTGCCCGAAAAAAACAAAAAATGAAAAAAAGGAAAAAATGGAAAACAACTTGTTCATCAAACAAATGCACAGCCACAATGCTTCGGCTTCTAGGCCAGACTTAGACTCTCTGCAAGTAGACGCTCTTCGCAGGGGAAATGATGGCAAACCAAGGTTGGCTAGGCCCGCCAAGGTTTGGTATATGAACTCAAACACTAGTCTAGATCGGAAATCCAACTGTCTGATCCTTGGCATTTGAGCACATGATCTACTCAATAAACATAAACACAAAACCAAAAAAGCCACGAACGCGCGCCGCAAACTTTGCCATTCATAGGGGTCCATGGAGGGATCCGCTGTTCTTGGATTCCTGTTTGTCTGACACTCGGGACTTAAGTGTCAGGTCGGATGTTCAATTGGCCCCGTGGAACTCAGCACAGAATCAACAGGGGCTGGTTTACAGGGTGATTCTTAAGCCTCGAAGACATCCGGATCACCTTTGGAAGCATCCGGGTTGATAAATCCGAAGTCGACATGACAAAGCTTCGACTGAAACTCAAGATGGCAAACAAAGAGGAACCCGAAGGAAACCCATCTCTTGGGCCATCCACGCCCCCTCAAGCTACTCTCTAGCTTGAAAAAGCAACAGCGTGTCTCTCTTGGGTATGATGTCAATTCAACCGACTGAGACAAGAGGGCTGGGTGGCTCAAAGTATTTGGAGAAGACGCCCGTTTGGGTGTCCAGTCGAAAGGCCGTAGCTGATGGGTAAACCACAACCATAATCAAAACCCGGTATTAAACTTGCTGGTGCGACAGCCAGAATGAGAATTGGAATGACCCTGGAATCCCCGGGTTCATTCCCACATTCCCTACTGAGCACCAGCACCCAGAACCATGTAATGAATTGAGAAGGCGGAATTCAGCACCCATTTACGGCAAGGGGAATGTCCCCTACCCTCCAATTACTCGAGTTTTGATTGTGACCCACATGAAGAAGGCCTCAATCATTCGAATCGGGACTGAACAAAACAATGCAGGAAACTCGGAGATATTTGCCGCATACCATTTTGGCTAATGCTGACCTAGAATTAATCAACCCCAGTTTATACACAGGGGGGGTCCCTGGGTTTAGTGGAGAAAACTCACTTTTGGAGGGGACCCCCCCTCTATTAATCACCCGGGGTCGGTTTCTATGGCGTCAACATTAAGGGAAACCCATACGAAACCTCAAAAGCAACTCCGGGGTTCCAGGGCCTTCAAACAACACCCGCCATGGCAGCCCACCTTTTTCCCCCGGCCCCTACAGCCAGCCACGGACGGGACCACGTGAGCCCTCCATACATGACTGCCCCGTACGTTTGACACAAAAAGCGGCGCGCCCCATGTCCCCCCCCCCCCCCAAAAAAAAAAGAAAGAAGAAGAAAATAAAAACATCAGGCGGCAAAGGGCCCGTCACGTGAAACCTACAAAAAGAGGCATTTTGGGCCAACCCCTGGTTGAAGCATGTTCAAACCAGTCCTTGTTTTGGCTTCTCTCTCAAAGGGGAACCAATCAGGTATGGTTGCTTAAACCAATTTTGCCACGAAAAGTTGCTTTGGCTTCGCATGGCAAAAGGGTACTGTAGCTTCCGTTTGAGTCGCGCAGCTTTACTTTCCCATACTTCTTGTAGGTATATGTTCCGGCATGCTCCCTTCCTTCAGTTAGAGACATTTTATGCAAGGAGCCAAATAATTGCAGCAGACCATATCTTATGATCATGACTTTTTCCAGCTTTAAACGATCCCAAGAACCTATTCCATGTCGTCATCAAAGTCGCTCAAGCTCAAATTGTTGGTCCAAGGGAAACAACCCAAGCTGACTTCGACATTCCTGAGAAAGTCGAAAGAATGATGACCCCATGGCCCCCTGAAGTCTTTCGAGTTATCTACTCGTTCAGTGACCATTGCAAAAAAGGGAACCCTTTTTGGGGAAGACCATTTTTGGGCCACAAAAAAAGGGGGAAAAAGAATTGGTGCCACTGAACAACTGAGTCTAGGATCAACAAAACCAAGCTTGACCAAGCTCAGACCTGCTGCAAGCTCACTGGTTGCTGCTTGAAAGCGATGATGAAACATCGAATGGGCAAACAGTCAAAACGATACCGCAAGTCTGGCTCAATGTGTTTCTTTTCTCTCTTCGTTTTGTTTTGCTCTCTTTTCACGAACCCAAAACACCGGGCTTCGAGAAACCACACGGCCCCCACGGCCCCCACGGCGCGAAATTCGGCGGGCCGATCCGGAAGATCTCTCCTTCAGCATGGCCTCCGCTGAGACAAGGGATCCGCTCTCGATGGCCCAGTAGAGAGGCGAGATGGACCTCAGATCTCCATCGATATTCTTCTATATATATACACATATAGTCACCCCCCCCAAATCAGGATCCACACCTATAGAATGTGGTATGCAATAACACACTGTGAAGTACCACCAACTAAGATGGAGGTGCAAAAAGGCCCTTTCCGAGAGGAAAGTTGTCTTTCTACAGGGGTCTGCACTTCCGTGTTAGCTGGTGGGAGGGTATACCCTCCCACCAATGAACATGGAACCTGACGTTCCGGGGTTTGGTGTGGAAGGCCATGTTCCTAATAAAAAAAGGACCCTCTGTCAGGTTCCATGTGAAAAGGGTGGGAGGGTAATACTCATAATAACAACAACCATGTTAGGGATAGTAAACAACATGTTACCCTTGGGTGGTTTGGATTGCTGGCTTGGGGATTTAGACCCTTGGTCTATGGGTGTTTCTCAAAACAAGGGGAGCCCAATGGGTGAGGTCCTTTTGGTTTACCTGTAAACGCCCGACAAAAGGCTCCCACCATTTTGTGAACCCCCACCCATATCATTCGAAGGCTTGGATTGGTGGTTTTGATGAGTCATCTGGGGATTCCTGAGGTACATGGGAAACCTTTCGCTGGTGCTAACCCTTAGGTGGATTGACTCGCTGTGGATCAGGTCAAGCACCAGTCTTTCCAAGCCAAAAACCAACCAAGGATCTTGAGTCGACTAACCAGGAAACAAACAATCTGAGCATCTCAAAGGGTTTCAAGGGTACCTAATTAAGGATGTACTCGAGGGGTCAAAAAAGGGTCATTTGGTACATCCTCACAAGGTGCCAGCAAACCATCCGAGAGAAAAGAACAACTCAAGCCAATGCAAACTTGGCCCGACAGGTTGCGCCAAAAAGATATGAGCGCGGTTTTTTGAGGGTAGCGAGTTTAAGGTGGGATTAAGGAAGTCAAAAAGAAGCTATCTGTCGGGGTCCGTTTAACTTTGGGGAAGAAAGAGCCTATATTCAAATGTTCCATGTGGATCAACAAACTCGGCAAACAGCCCCAGGTGGAATTGGGGTGGTTTATCAACCAGTATTCAATTCGGGTTTAATCCATCCCAATGGTCCAAGGCGAATTTTGCCCATCCACAGTCTATTGCCAGCCCTAGCAACATAAAATATGTTTGAGGAGGGAGACCCAGGAACTACCGAGGCTCCCCCTATGTTCACGCAGATTCCCAAAGATTTCGAGCAGCAAAAACCACACCACCAAACAAAAGCAGCACCAACAACTGTTGTGCTTTTCCTTCTTGGTGTTCTTTCAATATAACCTCGAATTAATTTCCGGAGCTTGAATAGTACTTTTCTCCGGATCAATCCGAAGCCAAGTCCGGATTTCCATAGGCACAAAATGCTTCGGGAAAAACCACCCTACTCTTCCGTGTTTGGCATGACGGCTATTGCCCCCTGCAAAAAACACATGCTGCGGGTTAGCGGAAACTTCATCATTGTCCCAAGAAGATAATAAAGGTTGAAAGAGGCTGCCAAAACGGGGTTCAGGCTACATCTTGGCCAAATTAAGCATCACCCAAGTACCCACGGTTTCAGGATTTCTACATGCAGTAATCTTTTAGTTGTGTCCTTGGGTCCAACATCATATTGCAAGTAAACCAACCATGGTAACCATACTGAGTTGGTCCTCAGGACCTGGAAGTCAAAGTTGCCAACCTTTTGGGACCTTCACTGAAAGTGGACCAAACAGGGCAAACCAAAAGGTAGGTCGGCTTTCAACAACTGAGCACACACAACAATGTAACAACACCAGTGCACGGGTGAAAAAAATCGAACCAGTTCTCTGGTGTTCGGGACCCAAAAAAAACGATGCCTGGCCCGCCATGGGAAGAAGAGGGCGCTCTCTTTGCGGACTCGTTGGGTCCCTTTGAGTTGGTACCTGCTTGTTGTTGCTGAAGGAAAACCAACATGAAAACCAGACTATTATTCTTAAATATATTATCATCATTGGCATTATCATTATGATTACTAACTTTGCTATTGATTGTTGTTCTTAGTATATCATTATCATTGTTATTCGTATTATTACTATTACTCTGACTATTACTTATTATTAGTAGTAGTAAGGGGGGGACCGCTGAAAAAAGACAGACCTAGTTGAATTCAGAAAGGCTACCCCATCCAAACAAAAGTTGCAAGGGAGCAACCAAAAGAATATCTGGGTACGCTTTTTGATTCCAAATGCCCTCGGTCAACAACCAACACAATCCACAAAACACAACCTCTACACAAAACCATAGCTTTCTGGTCTCAGAAAACCCTGCAAGGTGGTCCCTCAATGGCAACGGGCTCCTTTTGGTTTCTCCTTCCAAACCCCAAAACAAGGTATCCTCCAAGAAACATACACTGATAAAGGCCAACACCTTGGGGTTTTGGGATAAACCGGTTTTGGGAATTCTCTGGCAAATCAAACTCGCTTCACAATTGGCAACTAAAGGTTGATGTTTCAACATCAGCGGAATTACGGAAACCCAATGAGTCATAATCAGATCCCGGTGCTAAAATATCCATTTTCCCAAAATGGCCTTCTAGTTGGGACTGTCTTTTACTACCCTCCAGTTGCCCGAGACTCTCCACCAACAGGAAAACCCGGTGCTTCCCCTTAAACAAGGCCATTGACTACCGGTTTGGGGGGATTCCCGAATAAAGAAAACCAAATCGGGTCCCATCTATCAAACCAGCAAGTCTACCTGGGCAGGCTAATTATCCATAATCCCTATAGAAAAGCCACTACAAAGGGGGACCGTTTCCTTTTGCAACCCAAGGTAAGGAGGATTGAACACCCACAAAACCGTGTCTGAAGTGACCAGTGACGGGTGAAACTGTAGGAAAGAAACATCCGCTGAAACTGCCTTTGACCAGCCCAGACTCCGGCTTTGCGTCGTCGCCCGAGCGATGCGAAAAAAACATCGGATCTAACCCAATTGCCTTTGAACAGCCCAGAGTACACTCGGTTGCTTGCTGCTCCCCTGCTAAAAGTTTTCAACTTTCAGTGGTTTCGTGGAAACAAAACCTTAGTTGGCAAAAAGTTATTCAAGTCCTCACATCCCTTGGCAACATGCCACAAAAAGAAATGCCGTCTTTTTCGACTCCGCCGACTTTTTCCGCCCGACTCCTCCGCCCGAAGTCCAATCCGAGCGATCGCCACGCGATGCGATGCGGCTCCGTTTTCGAGTCGGAGGCGCTCCGTGCCCACGCGGATCTCCAGCAGCTCCATGGCCCGCATGGCGCGGCTGGAGGCCGCGATGGCCTTCTGCAAGGCCGCCGCCTGGTTGCCGTTGATGGCCTACGGGCTGCGGGTGCCGGGTGGCGCTGGGCTGCGCGCTGGGCGCTCGGAGCTGAGAGATGCCCAGTGGATTTCCATGGGAGAAACCAAAAGGGCAAGCACTTCTGCGTGTTTTCTTTTTTGGGTCGAGGTGAAAGGGTGGCCATGGGAGACCAAGGGGGCACCTCTTTCTTCGTGTGTGTTTTTTTGGGCGAGGTGAAAGGGGAACCCTGAAAGAGGGTTGGTTTCTTTCACAGGGAATTTGGACCCACAGACACACACGACTTCTTGAAGGCTTCGGGACGTTCCTGTTTTTCTTTGGGGTCTTTGTTGGTCCTCTGGGATTTTGGTGGCTTACGTTTTCCGCTTCGGGCTTCTTGTTGTTTAGCTTCTTGTTCGGGGTTGTTTCTTTTATGGGTGGTTGTTGGTCAGCTTCCCTCTAAATGTATGGTTTGGATGGTGGTTGCAGATTGGGGAGTGGTTTTCATCTACAAGAACCAGGGGTTCAAATCCCTCACCAATCCAAACTGCCAAGCAAGGGTTGCCTGATTTAGACTGTTTGTTGTGTGTGTATTTTCTTGTTTTTCCCCCAACAGCTGAAAGCTTTGGGGTCTCAGCCCAGATACGCTCCGGGGTGGTCCGGGGCGGGCCCTGGGGTAAGGTTCCACAAGGGTTCCACAAGGGTTCCACAAGGGTTCCACCAGGGTTCCACCGAGAATCCAGGAGGGTTCCACGAGGTTCTGCAAGGGCTGCAGGGTGGTGCGAGCGCCAACAAGAGCACCGCATGCTGTTGGGGATATCACCTGAGCTTGTTTTTTAAATGTGGTTTTGCATTTTTTGGGCAAATCCTATGGGTGGTGTCGCTGTTGTTCTTCAAAATAAACACAAAAAGCAGTATGTACCCTCCGAAAAATGGCCAATTCCATGATTCTCTTTTGGCGTCTCCTTTCCCCCTGTTTTGGGGAATGGCATGGTATGGCCCCCATACACAATTACCTCGAGTCCAAGCAACTTTGGATGGTGTGGGTCAAAACAGGGGACCCCTTCCAATCGGTCCAAACTGGGCCTCCCCGATTTTGAGACAGACCCACATATGTGGGAGGATAATTTTCCCAGCCGAAGCCATTGGGCGAAGCGTACGCTGCATGAGGTGGGGGAGTTCAATGGATATCATGTGTCATTCTCCAAGTGGGATATGGACACCCATCGTTTCCCTGTCATTCCCCTTAAACGAGCGACCAGAACAAGAACAACCAAAACTATTGAATCGTGTCAGAAATGGTAAGGGGTTTTGCCTTCTCCCCCCCCCCCCACATGCGAGAATCAACGCTAGTATAAAAATGGTCTACCCAAAGCATGTACAGAATTCCAAGGGGGTATCTATTTCTGGTTGAGACTATCCTGAACCTTCTTCATCTACCCGGGTTTTGATTCTGGCTCAACTGGCAGGGACATTGCGCAAGCTGCAGTTGGACAATACTCTGGGCATGTGTCACAAAAACGGGAATCGGACCCCAAATATGGTTTCGGTGTTGAAGTACTGGTGCCGGTTTTTCCCTTTGCTTCCCGCTGATGGAAGCGGTGGAAATCTGTTGAGAGCCCCCCCAACCATAGTTGGGGCCAACAAACAAGAGGTATGATGAACCCACGACGGTGAGAAGAGGGAATCCGGTTTGGCTTCCATGTTTGGTTTATCTTGCTACGTTTTGGTTGCCGCCCGTTGGTTGCCGTTGCTGGCCTGCGAGCAACTTTGGGACCCAGTTGCAACCAGCGACAACGCCTTCCTGTTTTGCCGTTTTGAGCTTGGTTGCCCTTATCTGGGGTGCTCCAGATCCCCCAGCAAAAGTTTAACTGATTGCGGCTTAAAAGAAAATAGAAGGAGAATCCAAAAAGTTGAAGTCTAAAGATCCGACCCAATAGCAGTACAGTTGTGTGGCTTGCCTGTTTGGTCGCAGCATCTTCCGTTTGGTGGGCCTCCTGCTTTGCAGCTTCCGTTTTGTAAACCACCGCGGAAAAAATATATGAATAAACTGGGACAACAGGACCAACTTGGGTATGGATCAAAATTAATTCACCAGGATAGATTTGAGTCTTTGTTTCCATTACCAGGGCTTCTTTTTGGGTACATATTTTTGATCCAGATCCATTTTGAAACCTGACTCCAAACGGAACATCCTTTTGGCCCGCTTCAAGGACCTCACACCGGAAACCGAGACAAAAAACACCGCCCACTGCCCCGTCCAAACCCCGCCGACTTTGGTTCTACTAAGATGGTTGCACAGGCCCATAACCCCCATAAACCCAATGTAACTCTGTAGAAAACAACAAAAAGAACACCTACAACTACAAACATGGGGCGGATTCAACTGGTACAGAAAGACATTCCCAACATGCACCAATCTATATATATAGTGCTAACATGGACTTATTCTAGTATAAACCTAACATGAGCCACCTATATATAGTACTAACATATGGCCTGTTGGCATGTTTTCTTTCCTCAGATGCCCAGTGGAATTCCGTGGGAAAAAATGGTATTCCTTTCAAGGACCCGGAACCCTTCCCAACAAAAGTCGGAAAGGGAAGCCGCTCGGCTGGGTTTCTTGGTGGGTTGCTGAGAAAACCTAACATGAGCCACCTATATATAGTGCCAATATGGCCTGCTTGATTGTTGTTTATTTGATATGTTTTCTCGTTTTTTTAGTTGGTGGGGGGAGGTTGCGGCCTGGCCTTAAAAGCAACCCACCGGGCAACTGGGTTTCTTGGGGAGTGGGGGAACCCGCTCAGCTGGGCCTTTCTTCTGGGGGGAGGTCTGAGGTGGTTGCCTTCATGACGATGGTGGAGCCCTCCGAGATCGTGCGCGAGAGGATCTTGGCCACCAAAGTCAGCGACCAGCGGAAGCCCTCCTCCGCCGACCTGACGGGCGGCGGAACTCCCGGCTTGATTAGGCTTTCCCCTCGGCCTGGCTACCTTGGATGCTCATATTGCACACAAACCCAAACCATGCTCACAACCACAAGCGGTACATCACACACCGGCTTACTTATACAGAGGCTCCCGATTGATTTAGGGCCCTACAGCCAGGCTTTGAGACCCCCAAACAAATTCGGGGGGTCCAATGGAGGGGTCGGAGCTTCCATTGAAAGCCCCAGTAGCCTCTGGGTAAATAAAGACCAAAAGGGGTGCCAAACAAGAAAGGGATTCCCCTTTTGACCCTACAGAGAATCGCTGGTTCCGAGCTGCCCCCCTCTACTTGAGCTCGAAATAACACATGAGAATGGCCGTTTCCCAAATTCGGATTGAACTTTCTGCTGTTTGGCAGTCTTTCTGGGCCAGAATCCGATGACCCCCAACACCTGCTTTTTGGACAGCAATTGAAGTTGACATGGGAAAGCAACAGTCCTTGGGCTTTGGTGCTGGCAGCAAAAGATCGATTTTGTCAAACCCACATAATCATGGTCTGTAGTCACACCGGCGCACGAAGCGACAGCGAAAGGTGAGACATTCACAAAGAGGCGAAAGCCAAACATTCACACACCCCAAGCGCTTATCACTTGCAGAGAGGAAGGGCCCAGGGACCGAAGCCAAGAGACATGGACTTCTTCTGGTGAAAAGGGAACCTGATTCGGGCACCCAAACGGAGAAAAGGGCAAAGCGTTGGTTAAGTCTGACAATGACTTGATAAAGCGAACGACTGGGTTGACTTTCTAGACAAACATGATGAAAACACCTGGAAACAAGAAGAGCTAGCTGTTTAGCCCAAACACTTGGCAAACATGTCTACACTGGTTGAACTGACTTGTATACTGGTTGGTCACAAGACAACAAACAGTTTGAAGCTGCAAGACGCAAGTGCTAAGCAGACCTTTCAGTTGAAGGACTTGCAGGATGAAAGGCCCAGCGGAGGACTTCACTTCTGCACTCCAAAAGAGGAGAACACCCGGACATGGACTTTGGCTTTCCGGGTTTGCCGCAGAACCCCTAGTTGGTCGGACAGGAGAAACACATGGGGCCAGCTCTCGTTTACCCTCAAAGCCCCGAGCGAGGCGCTGATTCTTGCCATCGGCGAGATCCGCCATCGCGTCCACAGCTGCGGAGACGAAGGGCGCCATCAACTCGATGGGAACCTGCGACCATGTGGGTAGCCCAAAACCCCCTGGTTTTGGTTGTGCAATGTTGACCCCAAAATAGTCAACCAACCAGTTAATGCATTGGGGGGTGTCCGATTCTTGGTGAAATGTGGGGAATCTGACCACTTTTGGAAACACCCCCTATGAATAAACTGGTTTATTGATCCGGGGTCAACATTACAGGTCCATCCGATATGGGTAGCCCTTGAACAGGGAAACACCCTGAATGTCCACAGGTTATCCGAATTCCTTGAGCCCGAAAAAGAAGTTTGGGGGGAATTGGTCTCCATTCAAAACCAACCAATTGAAAAACAGGTGCCCTTTGTTCCACCCAACGCACGTGACTGGGGTTTCCCAAGGGGTACAGGGTTGGCTCTTAAATGGGACGCCTCCTCCCATGAATCAAAGGGGCTCTTCCAAGCAAGGCGGGCCAGACGAGGCATAAGTTTACCTATGGGTAAGCAAAGGGGACAGACCAAGGGAATCGTCTCACCCACCAACTTGGGCTGAGACCATTCCCAAAATTCCTACTTGGGGCCTCCGGTGCGCGGAGTTCAATGGTTGAATGATCTTGAAGTCTTGGAGGTTCAATCTCCCTAAACGAAGGTAGCCTCCCGAACATGGAAAACCAATGATCTTGGAGCTTCAAATCTCCCACTGACACCTGACCTTCGGGGCTGTTGAAAGGGATATTTTTTCGTCCAAGCCACAACCGAAGGTCGGGCTCCAGGTGAAACGGGGGGGAGGTCCCCACTCAGTCACTGCATTTGGCTGCCAATGGAGACGTAGCCATTCCTCTTTGGAGCCCTCATGCTTCCGCTTCCATAGATGTCGGGGGAAAGGGCCAGCTTTGGTTTGCTTGCTTTGGCTGTGGATCAAAACCCCGAAATTGTGGTGAACATCAAAACAGGTGGTACATGGGTGTTGGCCATTTTGAAAGGAGCAAGAAAACGACCGGGGCTTCCACGTACCTATGGCCTGCGACTTGTCTTGTCCCTAACCTCTTCATACTTCAGGAAGCGGCATTTTGTTTGGCCTGTGCAGTGGATGTCACTCAACACTGAAGGTGAAGAGGTTAAAGGGCAAGGAGACCCCGCTATGATCACTTGTGCTTTTTCAATGACTAGTTTCTCCTATCATCCCGGGTTTGGGATTTCCAAGTTTCGAAGCTGACCGAAGATTTCGGCGCCTCGTGCGCCACGTGCCGCAAGCCCAGCGCGGAGATGTTCTGACCGGAGAGAACGTTTGCAAGTCTATCAGTTGCCCAAAGGACCCTAACAGGATTCCCCATTAAGCATCACCCAAATACCCATTGCTTCAGGACTTGTTTCATGTTGCAATCTTTTAGGTGTATCCTTGGGTCCAACATCGACCCCGAGAAGGTATTTGGAGAAATAACACACGGATCCCTAAGGATCGACCTTCCGTATTGCTCGTTCCGTATCGGTGAGCCCGACAAAAATCGAACCATTGAGCTCGACATATACTCGGCGGTCCCTCGGATACTGAGGCATTTGAAACGCCACTGAAAAGTCTGCAGTGACTAGAATTTACCCACATCAATACCCACCCATGCACTAGTGCACGGATTCCAGGGTCTCACAAAAAGTAATAACCGAATGACTTCAAACGTAGGGAGCCTCTCAAAAGTGGTTGAGTGACATGAATCACCCGTGAAGGATGTCCACCAAAGGGTTTCCAGTTAAAACTCAAGCCAAGTGCTTTCTGAGGACACACCCATGTCCCTAACCCAAATTTGGTCTACCTTGAAAGCGTGTAGAGACAGGGATTTAAGGGGACTTAAGGTTTTCGCTCGATGCTTTTTCGGGAATTTCAGGCCCCTCATCCCCCACAAACCCCACCGTGTTTTGGTTCTTCTGCACAGACCCCCTTTCGGGGGCAGGACTTGCCCCAAGCGCGCGCCAGCGACCATAGGAGACCTTTTGCGAAAAAAATCGATCGGCATCAAACCCGTGGCCTGCCACTCGATTTCTCACCAAACTAATCGATCAAAGGACGGAGCCATGCGACAAACACCGCCGACCTTTTCGTCTTTTTTTTTTTTCGAATCGCGTCCTCGACCACCTTCCGTGGGGTTTGGAAGATCTGCACCGCACAGTCCACCACCTAGCGAAAATGTGTTTTGTTCTTCTTATTCTTCTTTTCTATATCCGCCGACATTGCTCGGCGTGTCGGATACTTACTAGAGGATAGAGGATAACCCCCCCCCCTAACCCCCCCCCGCCCGACGTCTATTACGTAGGTTTTTTTTTGGGGGGGGGGGAAATTGTTAAAAGATTGATTCTAGGGCTGGGGTTTTGATATTGGGAGTATCATTTTTCCCTGTTGCCTCTCAACCTCCTATCGTGCCTGTTCTGTTTTATCATCAAAATTTGGTCTATCCTCCTTTTCAAGGTTGGTTTTGGGGACTAAATTATTTACAATTTTTGCGTTTTCAATAAGTCAAGCAATGGCAACCTTATTCACTTTTTCTAAGTGTTCAATGAGGTCAGCAACATCGCCTCATTCGTTTTTTAAACCCCAGAATTTGGGAGTATACAGGGTAAAAGAGTAATTCATAACCTTATTCATTTGTCAAAAAACCTCACCCCAGAAAATAGTATTATGACAGATGACTAACTCTATAAACATTAGTTTTAATCACATTATATTGAAATAATATCATTAAAAACAATCTCCACTAATCATTGTCATATATTCAAGGCGTTCAAAAATATCATTGACTGGTTCTACATTGAATTGTTTTTCTGTCTTTGCTTCTGTCTTTGTTTCTTCTTTATCAGTTATTAAATTGTCCTTATGTCGTTTTGTTCTTTCATGCCTCGCTTTATTATGAAGTCCTATCATTATTTTACAGCAAGGACATTCATATTGTTTATGTTTAGTTTCCTTTTCATTTGTCATATTATGTTCCTCCATATACTCTATACTCCATACTCGTTTAACTATTTTTCTCAACAATTTTTTACAATTTTTTCATTTAATAACAGTCTAACATTTTGACATTTTCAAGGCTCAGGTTTCAGACCATTTTACGTCTTTCTGGGGGTTAGATAGAACGGTTTAATCATATTATAAGTTAATAATATGAATACACTGAACGCTTTTCATTTTCAGGAGTTTGACATAAGGTGTTTCAGAAATCCAGTTTTTGATTTTAACAAATTGTGCATTTTGGATTACTAGTTTTCATTGTTTCAACATTCTGAAATTCAGAGTTTCTCAGTTTCATAATCCCGAAATTGGGTGTTTCAAGGTTCAGAAACTGGGTGTTGCAGTGTTTCATAATCCCGAAATTGGGTGTTTCAAGGTTCAGAAACTGGGTGTTTCAGTGTTTCGAAATCCCGAAATTGGGTGTTTCAAGGTTCTGAAATTGGGTGTTTCACAGTTCCGAAATTCCGAAATTGGGTGTTTCAAGGTTCTGAAATTGGGTGTTTCACAGTTCCGAAATTCCGAAATTGGATGTTTCAAGGTTCTGAAATTGCGAATTTCATAGTTTCAAACCCGACCCCGCACCAGCAACCCAAACCCGCCCCCAAAAGGACTTAAAGAAATATTACCTTATATAGTATAGAGAAATGGCAGGGGATTACAGCACGGGTTCAGTAATTGAATATTTAATATCCAATAATGAAGGTCAAATAAAAACAGGGAAGAATAACAAACCATTGAAAAAACTAATCATTAACAACAAAGAATACTATTACAACAAAGACAAACCATTATCCTCATCACTTCAAAACAAACTCAATCAAGTCAGCAACACACAAGGTTTCAAACGATTTCATCTTCTTAAGAAAGCATCAAACACGATGAGGGGCATTAAAACAATCCAGAAATACAGATTAAAAATAGGAGCAAAAACATCAGAGACATTTTCGGCATTGAAAGGATATGCCAACACATATTCAATATCCAACATAACATTCAAGGGATACAAAGGATTAACATATATTTTATGGCAAGAAAAGAAACTAACAGAGTTTTTACAACAAGCAAAATCAATGAAACTACTGATTGATGTTGAGGTTATTTTTGATAAAGTTAGACAGCAAGAAGAGGATGATGGAGAAGATGAACCAACTGAGGAAAATATACAAATAAAGCACAATATGAGGAGTAGGAGATACAACATTCTAAATGTAGGAGACTTAAAAAAAGCATTGGAAAATATACCTAAAGATATTGAACTACAAATTGAAAACTCACCTTTGAAACATTCAGGATTGAAGATTAATAAGATTAACAAAATCACCATCCACTACGATAAATACAATCCAAACAGAGCAGGTAAATATATGGAACTACCAGAATGGATTTCAAAGAAAAAAGCGTGTATCAACATTCAAAATGATGATGAATTATGTTTCAAATACTGCGTTTTATGTAAATTTTATGAAGTCTTCAAGAAAGATCATCCACAACATATGAGACACTACAAGAAATTAATAACTACTGAAAGTCTAATTCAATGGGATGGTGTAAATTTTCCAGCATCCAACGATGACATAGACCATTTTGAAGAAATCAATAACAAATCTATATCAGTTAATGTTTATGTTGAAGATGTGAACCAAACCATCAGAGCAGACAGAATAACAAAAATTGAAAGACCATCTTGTCATATTAACTTATTGCGGATTGAACAAAATAATAACGAACACTATGTTTTAATAAAAGATTTTAGTAGATTAGCAGGAAGACAAACAAACAAAACAACTAATAAAATGTTTTTGTAGTTTTTGTCAGCACGGTTTCAAGTGAGAAAAACTTTTAAATTCTCACTTAATAAAAGGTTGTATGGCAAATGACATTCAACAAACAAAAATGCCAAAAGAAGGAACATCAATGAAGTTTGAAAAGCATTTTAAGAAACTGAAAAGCGCCATTTGTTATTTACGGTGATTTTGAATGTTTAACAACAGAAACATCAGAAGGCATCAAAGGGACTTATCAGAACCATAAACCCAGCGGTTATATGCTTAACCTTGTTAATGCTTATAGTGGAGAAATGACACCATATTTATACAGAGGCGAAGATTGTATGGATAAGTTTTGTGAAAACTTAAACAGTATTAGAGATGATGTTATGGAACAAATGAAAAATTCAAAAGATATTGATATGTCAGATTTAGATGAAATTAAACATTTAGAAGCTAAAAAGTGTTTCTTATGCAATGGCGCTTTTGACAACAGAGTAGAAGCGAAAAAGAAAGTTGCTGACCATTGCCACTTTACGGGATTATACAGAGGAGCGGCACATATGAAATGTAATATAGACTATTGCTTTAAAAAATATCATATACCAGTATTCTTTCACAATCTTAAAAACTATGATGCTCACCTAATAATTTCTAATCTTGAAAAGTTAAATACAAAGAAAGAAAGCATATCAGTAATAGCACAGAACAGTGAGTAGTTTATTACATTTTCATTAAACAGACTTGAATTTAAGGATAGTTTCAGTTTCTTGTCATCGTCATTAGAAAAACTGGTTAAATTAACAAAATATGAAGATAATAAATTAAGGGACAACTGGCAGGAACATTTTAAATATAGTTTCAAAGGCAAATACATTAAAAACGAAAAAGATTTATTTTTACTGACAGAAAAGGGAGTTTATCCTTATGATTATTGTAATGACTTCAATAAATTTAATGACACTGAACTACCAGAAAAGAAACATTTTTACAGTAGATTAAGTGAAGAAGATATAAGCGATGCTGACTATGAAAGAGCAAAACTAATATGGAAGCACTTTAACATTAAAAACCTTGGTGAATATCATGATTTATATTTAGAAACCGATGTATTATTATTAACCGATGTATATGAGAATTTCAGAAAACAGTGTCTAACTGATTATGAATTAGACCCAGCCCATTATTATACATTACCTAACTTTGCTTGGGACGCGATGTTATTGAAAACAGGAATTTGGTTAGAACTTCTACACGATGAAGAAGTTTATAAAATGATAGAGCAAGGACTAAGAGGTGGAATGTGTCAGGTTTCAATGAGAAAAGCAGTAGCGAATAATAGGTATATGGGTGATGATTATGATGAAACAAAACCAACATCCTACATCCATTATTTAGATGCTAATAATCTTTATGGACTGGCAATGTGTAAAAAACAACCATATAAGAATATTAAGTTTGTAAAAGATAATTTCTCAGAAGAAGACATTAAATATTACAATAGTGATTACAGCAGCAAAGGATATATTTTAGATGTTGATTTAGAATATCCGAAAGAATGCCACGACAAACATACTGATTACCCATTAGCACCAGAAATTATGAGTGTATCAGCAGATATGCTTAGTGATTATCAGAAAGAAACCTACAAAGCATATCATTTTAATAATGATCCAAAAGATGAGAAAACAAACAAGTTGATACTAAATGTTATGGATAAACAAAATTATGTTTTACATATTGACATCTTAAAATTCTATTTGAAACAAGGACTTAAAATCAAGAAAATAAACAGAGTAATAGAGTTTAGACACAAGCAATGGTTGAAACCGTGGATTGACTTTAACACAGAGAAGCGAAAGAACGCTACAAGCGACTTTGAGAAAGATATGTATAAGTTAATGAACAACGCTGTATATGGAAAAACGATGGAAAATGTGAGAAACCATATTGACTTTGAACTTGTTGATACTCCTGAACGCTACCAAAAAAGTGTGAATAATCCAAATTTCAAATACAGACATATCATCAATGAAAATCTTATAGGAGTTGAAAAAGCAAAAAGTGTAGTTAAATTGAATAAACCAATATATGTAGGAATGAGTATTTTAGATTTATCAAAACAACATATGTATTCATTTTACTATGACATTATGAAACCAAAATATAAAAATAATATCAGAATGTTATATACTGATACTGACAGTTTTGTATTACATATTAAAACCGAAGATGTATATGATGACTTTAATGACATTAAGGATTATATGGATTTCAGTGGTTATGATCCTAAACACAAATGTTATGATAAAACAAACAAGAAAGTTTTAGGAAAATTCAAGGATGAAGCGGATGGAAAGATTATAACAAACTTTATAGCATTGAAACCTAAATCTTACTGTTTCA